GGATGCGGAGAATAAAAAAAAATATGGCAGGATTTTACCCAAACACTCACCTTTTAGACTTATTTTATACACATAAGGAACAGCAAAGCTCAAAGGGTTTCATTTCCTGCGCATGTCGTGAAACAGTTCAAAAACGGAAAGCCTCTTTATAAATATATTTAACATTAGAAAGAGCCCCTAATGACAAAACAAATATTTTGACTTTATTGACTGATAAATACACAATGTTTCAGTCACTCTATAAACATAACTTTTGTGATGTTGGGAAAATGTGTAGGTTCAAAAAATCAATAAAAGAGAAAAATACAAAATCCTGTAACCCAAGCTCTTTCGAAATGTGGGCCTTTTTTCCTCAGGAACAAACCATTTTGCTCATGTTGAAGAAAGGTCCACCTTTCAAAAGCTCTCGAGCTATAGAATTTTATGTTTGTATGCTCTATATTTATATGCTTATTTTGTTGTTAGTCTCAAAGCTACGCAATCGGCTATCTCTAGTGTGCCCACCGCGGATATCGAAACTCGGTTTTTAGTGTTATAAGTCTATAGACTGCCCGCTTATTCACTGGAAGCTTATCAGTCAGCAAAGTTCAAAAACAAAATGGATGTTTTAAAAGTGGGATTAATATAACTATGGATTTTCTAGGTCATGAGTAATTAGGTTGTGTCATTTCCGTCCCTTGGGTCAGATAATGTTTCTAAGAGTAGTGAATGGATAACTGTACTAGTGAGAGGAGATACCATTTATGTGGTTGTAAGACCGATGAATTAAAGTGACGTCACAAAAGGAATTTATGTCGTCATTTCCTATTTTGGAGAAGCTAGAGAAATAGAAATAGCTCTGTAGTCTTCTCTGTAATCTAGCTTTGATATCTTCTGGATTTTTAAAGTATTTACTTTATTATCATAAGGTAAGTATATAAGTTAGGTTTCTTATTCATTTCATACACGCCTTTATACTGAAATTCACAGGCAGTTCCCCCACAACTGTTTTTTTTCTTTATTTGAAAAATCGGTATTATAAAACGTGATAAAAGAAGAAAATTCTTAAAATATGTTCATAGGTAAGGCCATTATGTGGAAACTCACGCACACAGATCTTTAATTAACACGTTAACCACTTTTGTGAAGTACTCTGTTAACAGTGACTTATTAAATGTAATACCATACATCATACATACATCACTTTGGTGAAGTACTCTAGTGGCAGTGGCTTATTAAATGTAGTACCATACATCATACATACATCACTTTGGTGAAGTAATCTGGTGGCAGTGACTTATTAAATGTAGTACCATACATCATACATACATCACTTTGGTGAAGTAATCTAGTGGCAGTGACTTATCAAATATAGTACCATACACCATACATACATCACTTTGGTGAAGTAGTCTGGTGGCAGTGACTTATTAAATGTAGTACCATACATCATACATACATCTGTCTCATTCTGAATATATCTTACAGTGTATAATTTAGATTAGCGCAGAGAGATGTAATGCGAAACACTCCATTTTCGGTACAAGTCTTACTCTGATGAACCTCTTCTACACACGTGTACTTACTTCAGGTATCAGGTCTTACTCTGATGAACCTCTTCTATACACGTGTACTTACTTCAGGTATCAGGTTTTACTCTGATGATCCTCTTCTATACACGTGTACTTACTTCAGGTATCAGGTCTTACTCTGATGAACCTCTTCTACATACGTGTACTTACTTCAGGTATCAGGTCTTACTCTGATGAACCTCTTCTATACACGTGTACTTACTTCAGGTATCAAGTCCTACTCTGATGAACCTCTCCTACACACGTGTACTTACTTCAGGTATCAAGTCTTACTCTGATGAACCTCTCCTACACATGTGTACTTACTTCAGGTATCAAGTCTTACTCTGATGAACCTCTCCTACACACGTGTACTTACTTCAGGTTTTGCGTGTAGGAAACATAGAGGATAAAAATGTATTGATTGAAATAGTGTATATATTTTTAAAAACAGAAATATTGGGTTAGGTAATTATCTTTAGCAATGTTAAAATCTGCACGTCGTTAAACTATACATCACAGGTATAGCTGAACTTCTCAGTTAAAAGTTATGAGAATATTATGTAAAATATCGCCCAGGAAAGTTATCAGTAATGCAGATAACAAATCTTTGATTATCGATCTATTTGTTATTTGTTGCAGGATAGAATTATGTACATTGTAATGTTGCTAAGGTTACGTCGTCCAAGATCTCTACTTTTTCTGACTTGTTAATCTTTCGAGAACCGACTACTATGTAATTATTATATATATAAATATATATATTTGTATATTCGATGGATGTACAAAGCTCATGAAGACCGATCGATAAAATCTTATCGACATGCAATCGGGGCTGGTAACATAAAAGTATTATCGAATATATTCACTCCTTAGTTTATAGTTGATTGATTTCTATACGATGTTTCTTTCTTGGTGATAGTACATAGTTTGAGCTACAATAAAACGTCGAAGGTAAAATTTCACTGAACCTTCCCAAGAGACTCTGAATCAGGTGATTAGTTTCAAGTGACCAACCCGTTTCGAAGCTTACATGACATGACGTGTGTTTATATCCTTCATTTGCTCACTCTTCTTTTATGTCATTAAAATGTTTCCAAGCAAGGACGGTATTATTGAGAGAACTGTTAGAGTTAGCGACTTGCAAGGATTGTTATATTGAGAGAACTGTTAGAGTTAGCGACTTGCAAGGACGGTTATATTGAGAGAACTGTTAGAGTTAGCGACTTGCAAGGATGGTTATATTTAGAGAACTGTCAGAGTTAGCGACTTGCAAGGACGGTTATATTGAGAAAACTGTTAGAGTTAGCGACTTGCAAGGATGGTTATAATGAGAAAACTGTTATAGTTAGCGACTTACAAGGATGGTTATAATGAGAAAACTGTTAGAGTTAGCGACTTGCAAGGATGGTTATAATGAGAAAACTGTTATAGTTAGCGACTTACAAGGATGGTTAT